TTTTGGTCATATGTTTATGAAATTTTCACATTTTCTGTTTTGGAAATCATAGCATATGTGAGGGTATATCAGTTCTAGCATCAATATCTTTATTTCTCCTGTATTGAAACAGCCTTTCCCTCTTTACTCTGAATTCTGAATTAATATGTCAGTAATAGCTTCTAATTTTCTAATTATTTTTCAAGTACAGCTCTTCATTCTACTGCGTCTTTCAAGTCAGCAATTAAATTTCAAAGTGTTTGTTTTCCATTTCATGATATTCAATCATTATTCTTTATGGAATCAGTGTTCTCTAAAATCTTAATTCAGAAAATAAGTGAGATATTTTCTTACATGTTCTACATCATGTCACAGATGGACATTGGATCTCTTTCTTCTTAAAGCTACTACATTCTCACTGAAATCATTTGATTATTTCTTATATTTGTTAACTTTGGATGTAGAAGATTATAGAGTTTTACTGATAGTCAAAGCTATGATGGCTCCCTGTAGATATTGGGAGGATTAAAGCTTACAGGACTTGATGAAGGAAAGTGGGGGAAGTCTTTCATTTACTGTAGTTTGTTGTTACTGACTAGAGAAAACCTGAGCAGGAAGTCTGATTGCTGAGCAAAGTGTTTCTTCAGCCTGATACTTGGTCAGCTTGATAATAACGGGGCATTGTCCTCATCATCCAGCTGGAATGACTGTCTTCTGCAAACAGGATTTCCAAGTCATCCAGTGAGCCAGTGAACAAAATGGGAGCCAAGTATAAGTGTTTCCATGGGCTCTCTGCTCCTGGTAGGCTGTCAGAAACTTGGGACCAAGACAAGAGACAGTGGAAAAATGGATGATCTAAGAGAAAAGGCGGTTGGCAGTCTTTTTAATGGATCCTGGACAGATGCATCATTGGTGCTGCATTATTAAAGCTACAAGAGCTAGAAAACTGAAAAAGTCATGTGCTTATTGAAGCACTGAAAGATTAGGATGTGATTTATTAATGACCAGCTTCTGTTACTATGTGTTGTTTTTCATCTATGCATCAAATCACAAAGAATAGAGCTTTTTCCTTCATCAGTTCCTTGGACATAGCAGGTCCTGAGCAACTTGTTCTAGAATATTGCACCCAGAGTTCCAAACATCAAAATAAAAAATATTGAGAGGAAGCCCCCATCATAAGATCTATTTTCCTGATAGAAAGATTAAATTAGAAAGATGAAATTGAGAGAAAACAGTTTGCCCAGGTTAGACATCTGCATGCATAGGACTGAAGAAAGTACAGGCTCTTGAACAGAAGTGTCTCACATCATAACTACATACTGAGCAGGCAAGTTGGTTGTAATTTCAGTAATACCCTCTGATGATATAAGAAAAGAAAAGAAGACAGTGTTTCACAAGCTGTTTGTACTCATATATATTAAAAGAAGAAAGTGTTAAGTTTCATGTGCTGTTTGTACTCAAACATATTTTCTGTTCCAGATTCTCAACCATTTTGTTGAATGGAAAGTTTTGAACTATAATGGTTCAGGAATAATAACATAGCCTTTCCTTATGCCTTGGAAAACGCTTTTTGTGGTTACTTGTCAGATTGTCTATGAAAAAATCAACATTTTTTAGACATTGATACATTCTTTTCTTCACATGATATTTTTATACAAGAACACTTCAGATGTGTTATTAGATGTAATTGATTTTAATAAATCCTATTAGATTTGTATCAAGTGGTGACGTGTTCTGTCTTTTGTGAATCATTGCTTTTTGTTTAAAAAGATGGCCTATATTGAGCCTTTGTATAGGTACATTCCTATTTTTTGTGACAAAAGAAAAATTTTAAACTGTCTCAAACAGAAAATAATGGCTATCAGAAGTATGTTTGCTTTAGTATGAGTTACCATTACTGTATTTGTTTACAGTGAAGGTAAACATTTTGCATTCAGTGCAACTTTCAATAAAAAGTAGTTAAAATTTCTGCTAAAAAAAGATACAGCTTTTTTTTTAATTTTATTTTTGTTTATTAATTTTTTATTTTATTTTCTGGTGGGACTGGGGTTTGAACTCAGGGCCTCAAGCTTGCTAGGCAGATGCTCTACATTTGAGCCACTCCGACAGCCCCAAGATACAGCTTTAATCAGGAATCAACACCTTTGGAGATGGTCTAGCACCTAGATTATCCTTGAAAACTATGATAGCAAATTTGCTAATTAGTATAAATAAATGTCACACAAAATTTTAATTGATCAGAAATATTTTGTAGGCCCTATCATACTTCCACAAATAAAAATCTGAATTACAAGTGTAGAAACCTAAGTCATGGTGCCATGTTCCAAGTGCTGTGGCTGTGCTCAGCTATAGCAGTGAAAAGATACCTAGCTCCTGCTTTCATGGTTTCATACAGTTTGGGAGGGCAAGCAAACAAGTACATTATCACATAGTGATTGCTCCCAAGGAACAAATGCATGATACCATGGGACTAGATAGAGGATACCTAAACCCAAATGGGGCAGAGAAGGAGAGATGACAAGAGAGCCTTCCTGAAAACAGTGAGACCTGAAGGATGAGTCAAAATTATTTAGTTGAAGAGAGCATATAAGAGTCTTTGTGTATGTTTAAGAGAGCAGGTGGTACTATTAGTGCTTTGCACATATGTGCTCAATAAGGATGTGTCAGGTGAGTATGTGAAGATACAGATCAAGGAGAGAATATGTTAAGAAATGTAAATTTAAGCTGGGCACCAGTGGCTCCTGCCTATAATCCTAGCCACTCAGGAGACAGAAATCAGGAGGATCACGTTTCAAAGCCAGCCCAGGCAAATAGTTCACAAGACCTTATCTTGAAAAATAACCCATCACACAAAAAGGGCTGGTGGAGTATCTTGAGGTGTAGGCTCTGAGTTCAAGTCCCAGTACACGCCCCTCAAAAAGAAAGAAAAAAAATGTAAGTTCAAGCTAGATTCTAAAAAATTTTCATACCTGTGAATCTTTAAATGATTTAAAATCAACTTCCTCCCTCCAAGACACTTGGTAGTTAACTAAAACATTGTCTATAGAAGGTATAGTTGTGACTTGACCATTACCATTTAAAATAGAGAGCAGATGGACCTAGCTTGACATCCTTATGGTAGTGAGGCAGGTATAATAGGGAAAGGAAAAATCATAGGCCTCCCTAGCACCATGACACCCTTCTCAGTGCATTTCACACTAATTCCCTCCTTGTCTCAGCCCAATCCCTTCTTCTACAGTTGTAAATGTCTTTTCAATTGTAAAATCTTCATAGTTATAGAGTCCTCTTCAGTTGTAAATTCTGTGCAGTTGTAAAGACAGGAAGCCTTGGAGGAATTCAGCTCTTGATTACCTCTCAGGCAAAGGCCCTCTGATTAAAACATGAGTATCTTGATCACACCTTATACATGCAATTAAACCAACTGAGAGTTAGCATAAGTACATGGGCCGAGTGCCCTGTGTTGTATGACACAACCTTGTCAATCAAACCTGTCAATCACCTAGCCCATCCTGCAAAGACCACCCAGATTTTTCCCACAGTTTGTCCTTCAATTTATAAATGTCCTTTAAAAGAGCAATTGGAGATCCTATGCCATCTGACAGGAGCCCACTGCTTTCTCTTGTGGTGTCTTCACCTCACCTTCAGTAAACTTTACTACCACTTTCACTACATTTTAGCATCTTGCCTGAATTCTTCTCTTGTGGGATATAAGTGCCTAAAAATCTGATTAGTCTTTAGAGAATATCCACCAGTAACAGTAGCTGTCAATCGTCTACTCTGTTTCAATAAATGGAAGATGTTTTCACTACATTAAATCTATACACTTTACATTTATGACTCATCTTTAAAATCCTGTTAACTTTATCCATATGGAAACTATTTTAACTTTTAAAGGATGGTTCTCACTAATTTCTCTTTTGGTTAAAAAAAAATAACTTAAAATCTTCTGGTCCTGATCTTGGCAGCCTACCAATGAAATTTTCTGCCAATCAAATTTTTCCTGTCACATCATTACTACAATAGGAAAACAAACTTTTTGGTTCCTTTTCTAGATAGGCCAGCACCCAATTTCAACTCAAAAACTGCTACAGAAAACCCTCCACACCCCTTTTAAGATTAATAAGAACCAAAATCACTTAAGGGGGAAATGAGGCAGGATAGATTGCTGAGAAGACAGGGAAATTATTTTATTTTTAATACATATTAAAAAGGCTAGATTCCAACATTGGAATGAGGAAGTAAAAACTACCGTTTAGATGTTAAGTTATAAGAACAAAGACAATAAAGGGGCTATCTGCATCTGCCTTCCTTTTTAAGATGTTGAGAAGCTGCAAGGCTCCTTGACTGGATAGGGAGACAGTAAAATGAAAGGTATTCTGTATTTTGGATAGGCCTAAGTCATATCTCCATGTTTTAACACCCATTGTGGCCACCCAGAACCATTGTCTAATAATTAAGGGCTGCTAAAAGACATGACCTCATGTATTCCCTCAGCTTAGAAAGTATAAAGCCTACAGACAAGAACCACCATTATCTTACTCCCATTTCCTATGTGGAGAGCAGTAAATGTTTCTTTCTTCCCCTCCCCACCCTCAACCCCTGTCCTTAAACACTTCTTCCACTTTATCCCTTTATACTAAAATAAATATTTTCTAAAACTTAAAAAAAAATGTAAGTTTAATATCACTAGCTGATAATGCTAGGATAGAGTGGTGTTATGAGAACCAGCACATATATCCCAAGTACCTAGAAAAATATCTGGTACATGGTAAGCACTCAAAATTTGCTGAAAGAATGACCATGTTAAAGAGCCCAAACCTTGTCCTTAGAACCATTGAAAGTTAACAGAAAAAAGGTGAATCATGTTGAGATATTTGCTTTTCTAAATTCTCCTAGAAATATTCCCCTGTATTTTGACTCCTCTGACAGGAATCTTGCTCAAGCTAGAGGTTCCCTTCTTCTCTTTGCCCCGCCTGCTCCTTTTGCCAAGAACACTGAACAGGAAGAAACATTTGCTTGGGGATGCTGCCAGGACAGAGAGGCTGTGAAGAAGGAAGTACATTGCCTGAGCAGGAACATATTCTCAGGACACAGGGCCTCTGCTCAGTGCACCAAGCGTAAGGCCATTAAGAAGACCCCTATCTGCAAATCAGCCCAGCCTCCCAGGGAGAGAGGAGGTGAGTCTGTCTGTCCTTTATGTAGACTGTCAGCACTTTTCCAAAGCCAAGAACTTCAGAGAAGTCTGTTCTGTCACTTACCCCTAACATAACGAAGACTGACAATTCTACAACTGAATTCAGTATGGTCAAGACTATAAGCTATGGTCCTTGGATACAAGTGTCAGTTCAAGACTAAGGGTTCTTGAAATACAAGACAGAATTTATTTATTAGACAGAGTTTAGAGACCACAAATGGGGGAAAAGTCTACCCAGAGTTAAGGGATGAATGAAGGAGAGGCAGCATGCCAAGTTCAAAGGCTCCCAGCCAGCACAAGGTCCTATATGTGCTCTGGACATGTCTAATTGCTTCCTTGCACCTGTCAGTGGTATGCTCATCTTCCAACTCTCCCTCAGGTGCTCTGAGAAATAGGCTGGGCTGATTCCTGGACAAAAGCAGTTTGTCCAATGCTCTGATGGTGTTGCTCTGATCCTCACAGGCTCCCGAATTCCTATCATCATGAACTGGCATGTGATCATCTCAGGGCTTATTGTTGTGGTGCTTAAAGTTGTTGGAATGACCCTATTTCTGCTGTACTGTGAGTATGCGAGCAGCCTCTAACTGCAACCTCCTGAGGGCAATTAACAATGCCTTTCTCGTGATCTAGCACATACAATGAGCCAGGTTCCATGGTCTATGTTGGAGATATAGAACTGACCAGTGCCTGACGGGCATTTTGCTACTAGAGTCTTTATTTGGATAATCTGAGCTGAAACACTAAGCAGAGCTTGATACTGTATTTAAAATTTAAAAACACAACTGTAGTTCAATCCAATGGTAAAGCTATGTTAAGAGCTGAACTATATGAGAGTGGGATTTAACTGAGGAAGAAACTTCTTTCTATATATACATATTAAAGAAATTCATCCACATGAATGAATTAATAAAAGAAGCCTCATATCAAGGGTTTTACTATAATTCAATAAGTAGAATCTCCTCCAGCCCTGAAGCCAGTGGGGAAAATAAATGAGGAAGGAAATGTGTAGGCAGAGTAGTTGGGTAAGAGGTATCTTCCTTGTGACTCAATCTGAAGGTACAACGCCTATCAGTTATGAGAGCAGAAAAGCAATACCAATACGCAAAAGTGAAGACATTCCAAAAACATATATACATCTCCACTGACCTGAGTCAGAGAGCTCACTTTTTTCCTATTTACAGTCACCATGCCCTAGCAACCCCTGTGCTTGTTTGTTGTATTCATTGTACAACCCCATTTGGGGCTAAGCCAATAGTTGGTTTTCTCTACAGTTTCACAGGGTTTTTGGCAAAAGTAAAGATGGCGTCATCTCCCATGGGAGGCTATGTAACAAATAATGTGCATCCAGCTTCTATTTGATGGTTTCTTAGAGACTTTCCTCAAGGCCTCCTTTCCCAAGAAATTCTTCTGCACAAATAGTCCACAAGGTCCTATAATTAAGTATCTTCTCATAAAAGAAGATAACAGGGGAACTCAAGACTAGACTTGGTGAAATTTCTTAAATTTCATTTTTTTTTTTTTTGCTTTCTTTTGTTTTTCCTTTGCAGTGCTAAGAATCAAACCTAGATCCTCACTTGTGCAAAATACAAACTCTAGTGGTGAGCTGTTCCCCCAACCTTTGAGTGAAACTTCTGCCCTCAGTTTTTCTCCTGGGCAAGAGGATGATTTATATGGAATCACTGTAATGTAATGTGAACATGCTTCATAGACTCTGAAGTGGTATACACCTACAAGAAATGGTTATAAGGAGACCACATACCACAGAAAGCAAGGAACACATTAAGCACCTTTTGTATGTCACCTATTATGCTAAAGAAGCCATAGGAGAACAATAAAAATGGGATATCAATCAATGATTTATAATCATCTATAAAGCACAATGCACAATGACAGAAGTCATTCAGGATAAAGAGATGAATGGGGCAGGGTTTAATAGAAATTAAACCCATCTCCTCTCAAAGTCTTTCCAGAGAACTTCCTTTCACTTCCTCCTAAGACACTGGTTATTATTGACGTCATCAACTGAAGAACGAGTACAAAATATATATATCAGCTTCTTCAGTTAAAATCCCAAAGTAGTTTCTGATCAAAACAAGGCTATTATACATAGCAAAAAATCTGTGAGTCAGAGAATTAAATAAAAAGTGAATGTTAATGTTTGTTTCACTAATATAATTTTAAATAATCAGTTTAGTATCTGGGTAAACTAAAGTGGTTGTTAACCATAATGAACAAATAACTGGGCTGCTGGGGAGCTTTGCCCAAACTCTGAAGCATTACAGCTGTCTGCTCAGACAGCCAGTGTTCCCAGAAAAAAATTGAGACCACTTAGAGGCCCATCAACTCCCCTGTATAAATAGACCTTTCTCTGCTTATAGGAAATCTCTGGAATGTTCACCTGTTTCCTTCTCTGTGAATACCCCCTGGGTCCTGAGTCTTGTTCCAATTAGTCACAATCCTTAGCTGAGCAAGTGCTTAAAAAAATCATCCAATTGCTACACAAGATTATGAGTTTTAGTAGGGGGCTTGAGTCGCCAGAAATAGGGAGAACTATAAAAATGCTCTGTGGAGCCTGGGGTAGAAATGTTCCAAACAGTTCTTTGGAGATAACAGTCACAGGTATATATAGAAAAGGAGAGACAGCCCATGCTCTGATGGTTGTATAGTACAGTATAGTATAGTAACCCTTAATGTTTTGTGGGACTAGGGTTTTATAGTAACCTTTAAATTTCCTTTTCATTTCAGTCTCACAGATTTTTGGGCTCAGTAATGACAGCTTCACCTGTGGGACTAGGGTTTTATAGTAACCTTTAAATTTCCTTTTCATTTCAGTCTCACAGATTTTTGGGCTCAGTAATGACAGCTTCACTCCCACAAGGAGCTATGGAACAGGTAAAGTACATCATTTTAACTGCTCTCCACCTCGGTGGAGAGCAGTTAGTATATATACTAACTTAGTATATATAAGTACTGAAATTTTACAGACTTTTTTCATTGCCTCCTTTCTTTTTTCCACAAAGGAGACATAAAAGAAAGACTTTCTAGTCTATTTCCTTCATGTTATGGACGGACTAGACTGGGTGGAATTTCTTCCTGGACTGAGAACAATTTGTATCAATATAATGAAGTCCATTTCCCATTATTTGATGACTCAGTTTCAGGTTAACACTCCAAACTGCTAATCTCATTCTCTCTCTCACCCCTACATTTCTTCAGTCTGCCCCAAAGACTGGGACTTTCATCAAGGAAGATGTTTTTTCTTGTCCACCTTTGAATCTTCTTGGAGTAACAGCAGGGATGATTGTGCAATGAAAGGATCCACTTTGGCAATTGTCGACACACTAGAGAAACTGGTGAGATCACAGGAGTAGCACAGTAAGGCAGTCCATCTTACACCAGCCTCAGTGGGTGGCAACAGTGGGGCGATGGCGTGGAGCAGGGGTCGGGGGCCGGAGGAATGGAGAGGTGGCTGGCTGGAAAGGTCAAACTCCTTGTTCTGAACCTGGGGTTAAGAGAATTCTTAGTAGGGGCATGATCTTCTGCTTAATCTTAGCTAGAATTCAGACTATATGGTCCTCCTTGTAAGCCACAGCAGTAGGCTAGTATCCTGGGGATTTGATGGGACATTTACAGTGCAGAAAATGTATGAAAGTTGTTTAAAAATTACAGAATACTTTATAAATATGAGAAATTATGTATCATACCATTATATATAGTAAAGAAGGAAAATATGAATTAGTATGAAATACTAATGTATCACCCCGGTATACACAGTAAAAAAGAAAGATGTGAATTAATAAAATAGGTAACATGAAAAACAAAAAATCAGATCATAGGGTTTGCAGCTTATGTTATAATAATTAAAATGCATAACATTACACAAAAAGCTTTGTTTTATCTCCCTTTGTCTCATAAAATCTTGAGGATGTATTAGATTCCATATTTTATAAATAAGAGGATTAGGACTCAGAGAGGTAACTTAATCAAGGGCATATGCCTAAATAACAGAATTGAATTCAGATCACTCTGACTCCAAAACCTGTGCTTTGATCAACCGTAGACAATAATTTATTTTATTTAAAGATGCCTCTACTTCAAATGTAAGCATGTGCTGAGTGCTAGGTACTGTACATTATTCTTGAATTTTTTTCCCTTTATTCCTTCACTCCTCCTTCAAAAAGTCCTCCTGTGATTGAGAAGGATTTGTAAAAGAGCCTTCTCTGAATTTTGACAATAGATGACTAATGAAAGGCAGGAATCCGGCTGCTATAGGTTCTCTAGGCTTAAGTACCCAAGTGGGAAGGAAAGGTGCCTTCAGGTAGAAAATCAGGAGCAGAGGGAAGGGTGGAAAGAGGGAAGAGGAGAATGAGACAGAAAGTTGATGACCTCTTTTCCTCTATTTGCCACTTCAATTCTGGTGAATCCCAAGTCCCTTGCATGTCGTTCTCCACCACTTATGCTCCAAGCTAACCTCAGATAAAGCTCATCACAATGATTTCCTGGTGACTCTCAACATATTTTATCATTTGATTCAATTTCATTTGAAATGTGAACTCTATGGCAGAGAGGCATGACAA